GCACACTGATGGGTTTTGGATTTTTATCCAATTTGCCAGTCTGTGTCTTTTGATTGGTGCATTTAGTCCATTTACATTTAGGGTTAATATTGTTATGTGTGAATTTGATACTGCCATTTTGATGCTAAGTGGCTGTTTTGCCTGTTAGTTGTTGTAGATTATTCAGTGCTCTTTAGCATTCAGTGTGATTTTGGAAGGGTTGGTACTGATTGATCCTTTCTATGTGTAGTGCCTCTTTTAGGAGCTCTTGTAAAGCAGGCCTGGTGGTGACAAAATCTCTGAGTACTTGCTTGTTCGCAAAGGATTTTATTCTTCCTTCACTTCTGAAGCTCAGTTTGGCTGGATATGAAATTCTGGGTTGAAAGTTCTTTTCTTTAAGAATGTTGAATATTGGCCCCCACTCTCTTCTGGCTTGTAGTGTTTCTGCCGAGAGATCTGCTGTGAGTCTGATGGGCTTCCCTTTGTGGGTGACCCGACCTTTCTCTCTGGCTGCCCTTAGTATTCTCTTCTTTATTTCAACCCTGTTGAATCTGACGATTATGTGCCTTGGGGTTGCTCTTCTTGCGGAATATCTTTGTGGTGTTCTCTGTATTTCCTGCAATTGAGTGTTGGCTTGTCTTGCTAGGTGGGGGAAATTTTCCTGGATGATGTCCTGAAGAGTATTTTCCAGCTTGGATTCATTCTCTTCGTCCCCTTCTGGTACACCTATCAAACGTAGGTTAGGTCTTTTCACATAGTCCCACATTTCTTGGAGACTTTGTTCATTCCTTTTTGCGCTTTTTTTCTCTGATCTTGGTTTCTCATTTTATTTCATTGAGTTGGTCTTCGACTTCAGATATTCTTTCTTCTGCTTAGTCAATTCGGCTATTGAAACTTGTGTTTGCTTCGTGAAGTTCTCGTATTGTGTTTTTCAGCTCCTTTAATTCATTCATATTCCTCTCTAAGGTATCCATTCTTGTTATCATTTCCTCGAATCTTTTTTCAAATCTTTTTTCAAGGTTCTTAGTTTCTTTGCATTGATTTAATACATGATCTTTTAGCTCACAAAAGTTTCTCATTATCCATCTTCTGAAGTCTAATTCCGTCATTTCGTCGTCCAGCTTTGCTCCCTTGCTGGTGAGGAGTTTTGGTCCTTTCTAGGAGGCGAGGTGTTCTGGTTTCGGGTGTTTTCCTCCTTTTTGCACTGGTTTCTTCCCATCTTTGTGGATTTGTCCACTGGTCGTCTGCGTAGTTGCTGACTTTTCGTTTGGGTCTCTGAGTGGACACCCTGAATGTTGATGATGAAGTATTTCTGTTGCTTGGTTTTCCTTCTACCAGTCTAGCCCCTTTGCTGTACGACTGCTGAGGTCCACTCCAGACCCTGCTTGTCTGGGGTGCACTGCTAGTAGCTGTGGCACAGCGAGGGATGCTACCAGTTTCTTTTTCTGCTCTCTTTGTCCCAGGATGATGCCTGCCTAATGTCAGTCTTTTGGATATAGAGGGGTCAGGGAGCTGCTTGAGGAGACAGTTTGTACTTTATAGGGGTTTAATTGCTGAGCTGTGCGCTCTGTTGTTCATTCAGGGCTGTTAGGCTGCTATGTTTGATTCTGCTGCAACAGAGCTCATTTAAAAACCCCCTTTTTTTTTTCTCAAATGCTCTGTGTTGAGGGGTTTGGGCTTTATTTTTGGATGTCTGATCAGGTGTCCTGCCGAGCTAGAAGGCAGACTAGCCACTGTTTGGCTGCTGAGGCTCTGCCCTGCTGTTGTGTGATTCGCGCTGTTCCTGCCGGCTCTGCTGTGGTCTCCACCTCACCCTGCGGCGGAGTCTCTTCATTGTAGCGTGTTGCCTCAGCAACGCCAGGCTGCATCAGCAGTGGGCGTGTATCTCAGTAGGGACGGGTTGCCTCGGCAACGGCTGGCTGCGTCAGCAGTGGGTGTGTATCTCAGTTGGGGCGGGTTGCCTCAGTAGTGGTGGACGCCCCTCCCCAACAGAGCGTCTCGGACCGTCTGCTCGGGATAGTTTGAAATCGCGGTTTTGTTCGTCCCACTGGGTATCCCAATCCCTGCAATCCCCTGGGCTGGCCTACTGTCCAAGTCTCGTTCAGTCTCAAGTCCAGCCCTCTCAAGTCTCAGGTTGCCGGTTCAACAGGGCACCCAGACAAGCGTGCCCTGTGGGGATTGCTGGGTAGGGCCGGCCGCCGCCGCCCCGGCTGCCGGCTTCGCCAGGCAGACCTACTGCCTGGCGTCCCGTGTCTTTTTTATACTTGGGAGTTTCCCCGTTCTGTGGGCAACAAAGATCATTCTGGAAATGCCGCTCTGACTCACCGTTTGCGGATTCAACGAGAAGAGCTCCAATCCTGGGTTGTTCTCACAGCGCCATCTTGAGTCCTCTTTCCCACAAATAGCTTTTCTTAAATGGATTCTCAAATTTCTTTTTAAATCAAAGTTATTATTAAATCAAAGAAAACTAGCGAAGAACAGTTACAAGTGCAAAGCATTCACTTTAGCTCTTCCTGCAGGGTAGCTCATCTCAATACATAGCATTTCTGGTTTTCCCTTTGCCAAAGATTCTGCCAAGCATAGAAACCCCCAAATAATCAGGGCTATGCTAAGCACAGTATTACCAGAGCTGGAAGAAAACACATTACAGTCTTATCTGCCACATATTTTCCATCTCACTTTCATTTATTTTTATAATTTTTTGTATACCTTAAAATATCACTGGGTTAACTAAAATTGCATATGAATAGTAAGACTCTTTAAGTCTCTTTCTAACTACACACCTCATCAGGTTACATAGTAGACCACTTGAAACAAAATGTAGTTAAAACACTCTTATTCACATTTCTCAAGCATTATTCTCATAATGGCAATTTTAGTACCTCTTCAAAAGGCATGTGGACTCATATCCATCTTCACAGAACTTGGTGAAATTTGATATTTCTTAATGGACATAAGATGTCAACACTATATGCCTGTTAATCATCAGGTGGATCGTGGCACTTAGTGCCCCTGCCCATGTTAATCTTCACCCTTTAAACTCTTAAAGTAAATATCTTCAACCATTGCCCCATTGTACTCCTCAGAAAACTTTAATAATGCTGGGCATCTCAAAAAATCAAAATCAGCTTTCATTTGCTCTGTTTTTAATCTCTTTTCCCAAGACCTTTAATTTTATCCTTCCATCTAGCCTCCCTCTACAGATTTGCCAAAGCCAATCTACTTGTCAATTTTCTGATTTTTCTCTAAATCTCCCATTCAAGAACCTGTTTGCTGCAGTCTCTTCACACCACTGTCCAGGAAGAAACATACTTGCAATTATCTGGGGATATGGCAAATTCACTGAGAAAAAAAAAAAGCCACTGTTTTACAGCTTCCCAAATTTACAGTATCTAGCAGCTCATCTCTTTGATGTTTATCAAGCAATTACAGGGTGCATGGCAGTTGCATCAGAATAAGTATACTTTTGAGAAACCTAGAGTCCGCATATCTGAATCACTTCTGAGATTCACACAAAGCCTGGGTCTGCAGACTTTATCACAGGACAATCAGGAGCTAATCTAATGGTCTTAGGATTAGTATATTCCATTTTCTGAGATGAGCAGAATGAACAAGACAGAACTACTGCTCTGTGGAGGTTCGATCCACTGGTGCAAAAACACTTACTCACCTTTTCTCACATTTCATTGGACTTGTGTCTCCCTAGAGGAAACATTAATAGAAGTAACATATCCAGCCCTATTCGTTACCCATAAATACCTCTCCTGAGGGAGAAATGGTAACTTTTGTGACAAGAGGGATTGGGAAAAGAAACTGAACATGATCAGCTTTGCCACTTTCTCTGATTTAAGATGCCCAGAAGAGCTGTGTCCTGATTTTTGTTTTTTGTTTTTTTCTTTTTTGCTTCCTGTGATTAGTACAGAAGTTTGGACACAGGCCTGTCATCTGGAGGTAGGTCTGAAAGCTTTTTCGGCTGCCCAGTTGGGGCTCTACATACGTAACACAGTGTAACATTAGGAAACCTGAATATGACCATACATATAAGCTACATTCTCCAATCTAGCCTGTTAGTAATAAAACTAATATTCTGATCTCTGGAAGTCTTCTTTCTATGTCTAATTTTTATTTGGTTTGGGGTTTAGCAGGAGGAAAAAAAGGGTCTTATTACAGGCCCCATAAGCCCTAAACAGCAATTAGTCATGCTTCTTACCTAGAATGTTGGATTTCATTTTATTAGAACTGTGTGGAGTAAAAAGACCTCAATTTGAATTTGAATTCTGTCACTTACTATGTGTGTAACCTTGGGCAATTTATATAATCTTTTAGTCCACAATCATATTTTGAAGTAATATTTAATGAGCACAATGTGCCAGACACTGTTCTAGGGTCTGAGGAAACACAGGATACAAACAGACTAAAATGTCTGCCTTTGTGAAGCTTTTATACTGCAAAATTGAAACAAACAAGGACATAAGGTTCACACTTCAGTGTTGCCTGTACATAGTAAGCACTCAATAGGTTATGAGGACGACGATGATGACGAGGGTCTTTGCTTCATTGGGAGAAGCAATGCCAGCTCTTACCAACCAACTTGTGCTACTAATGCAGTTTTTTTCTCTGTGATTATCTCTGAGCTTCAGACGTCCAATGATGCGATGATGATTATTTAGATGATAATATTTTACATCTTCTGATTTCTAAATTCCACTCTCAAATGCTCAACTCAGCTCCTTGGGGGATATTTAGCCTGCTACACTGTGCTGGAGGAATTATTTTCTGACTTTGAAAGCATAGAGCTTTCGTTTTGCTTTGCAATGTGGATGTTCCATATAGTATACAATATTTTTAATTGAATTTTGATGGGCAATATTGAAAAATTATTTTCTCTTGTCTTAGAGATGGTAGGACTCTAAATAAATACATTTATGAAGTCAACAAGGATGTGGCCAGACAGAATTTGCACCTCTTTAAGAATAGTCATTGTTACCTGAGACTGGACCTGAGGAGACCTCAGCTTCGGTGCTCGGGCCGCCCCTCCTCAGCCAGACAGTCCGCGCCGCAGCGGCTACCTGCCGCGAAGAGACGCCGAGACTGGGCGCGCCCAGCTGCACGTGGCGGACCCGCCCCCTGTCCCGCAGTGTCCTGGACCCCGCGGGCCTCCGCTCTCCAGTCCTCGGCCCGGCCCCAGGGCCACGATGAGCTTCTTGAGCCTGCAGCAGCCGCCGTCGCCCAGCCGCACCGGGGCCGCCTGCACCCTGCGGCAGAAGCTGATCTTCTCGCCCTGCAGCGACTTTGAGGAAGAAGAGGAAGAGGAGGAGGAGGAGGGCAGCGGCCACAGCACCGGGGAGGACACGGCCTTTCAAGAGCCCGACTCGCCGTTGCCGCTGCCGCCTGCGCGGAGCCCCATGGAGCCTGGGCCCGAACGCCGCCACTCGCCCGGACAGGCCCCCGGGAGCGCCGGCGAGCTGGAGGAAGACCTGCTGCTGCCCGGCGCCTGCCTCGGCGCGGACGAGGTGGGCGGAGGGGCGGAGGGCGACTCTTGGGAGGAGGAAGGTTTCGGCTCCTCGTCGCCAGTCAAGTCGCCGGCGGCCCCCTACTCCTTGGGCAACTCCTTCTCTCCTGTGCTCTGCGGCGGCCCGGGGGATGCGTCGCCGGGGCGCACCAGGGCCCCTGCTCGCCGCGGCCCGACCACCCGGGCACCCCGACGCACAAGACCTTCCGCAAGCTGCGGCTCTTGGACACCCCGCACATGCCCAAGAGTTTGCTCTCCAAAGCTCCAGGAATTGATTCCAGCTCTGTTAAACTCCGGGGTAGTTCACTCTTCATGGATACAGAAAAATCAGGAAAAAGGGGAATTTGATGTGCGACTCCTCAAGTGAATATGAATCGTTTTTCTCCGGATTCTGTGTTGCTTCATTCCTCAGGACAGTGTCGTTGTAAAAAGGGCATACTGGAATGATTCCTGTGATGAAGACATGGATGCCAGTGATTATGAGCTTGAAGATGAAACAAGACCTGCTAAGAGAATTATAGTTTCTGAAAGCAATATGAAGTCCCGGTATAAAACAGAATTTCATGAGCTAGAGAAAATTGGCTCTGGAGAATTTGGTTCTGTATTTAAGTGTGTGAAGAGGCTGGATGAATGCACTTATGCCATTAAGCGATCAAAAAAGCCACTGGCTGGCTCTGTTGATGAGCAGAACGCTTTGAGAGAAGTATGCCTGTGCAGTTCTTAGACAGCATTCTCACATAGTTCGATATTTCTCTGCATGGGCAGAAGATGATCATATGCTTATATAGAATGAATATTGTAATGGTGGAAGTTTAGCTGATGCTATAAGTGAAAACTACAGAATCATGAGTTACTTTAAAGAAGCAGAGTTGAAGGATCTCCTTTTGCAAGTTGGCCAGGGTTTGAGGTATATTCATTTAACATCTTTGGTTCACATGGATATAAAACCTAGTAATATTCTCATATCTCGAACCTCAATCCCAAATGCTGCCTCTGAAGAAGGAGATGAAGATGACTGGGCATCCAACAAAGTTATATTTAAAATAGGTGATCTTGGGCATGTAACAAGGATTTCCAGTCCACAAGTTGAAGAGGGTGATAGTCGTTTTCTTGCAAATAAAGTTATACAGGAGAATTATACCCATCTACCAAAAGCAGATATTTTTGCACTTGCCCTCACAGTGGTATGTGCTGCTGGTGCTGAACCTCTTCCCAGAAATGGAGATCAATGGCATGAAATCAGACAGGGTAGATTACCTCAGATACCACAAGTGCTTTCCCAAGAATTTACAGAGTTGCTGAAAGTTATGATTCATCCAGATCCAGAGAGAAGACCTTCAGCAATGGCATTGGTAAAACATTCAGTGTTGCTATCCGCTTCTAGAAAGAGTGCAGAACAGTTACGCATAGAATTGAATGCCGAAAAGTTCAAAAATTCACTTTCACAGAAAGAACTCAAGAAAGCACAGATGGTAAAAGCTGCAGCTGAGGAAAGAGTGATCTTCACTGACTGGATGACCACTAGGTCCACCACCCAGAGTAATAGAACATCTTGACTTATTGGAAATAAAATGAACTGCTCTGTCAGCCTTACTATATACTGAGCTACTCATTTCCCACCTCCCCCTATAAACTGTGATGAGAGGAAGCTAGGTTGGAATCACTGATAGACTTCAGTCTGCAATTACTTTTCTCAATTGGTGTCAGTAGTTTTACTGATTAGGACTTTTATTGTGAATTACAGTTGAAAGCTGTATTTTGACCATTGCTGTGTCAGGCTTTCATCTAATCTTACCAGTCTATTTTCTGTAGGATGTGTCACTGTTGGATGTTACACCAGCCTTTCCAGGGTTAACCACTGTGGTGGTGTGCTGCTTATAGTTTACTGTTGCATTGTAACAAAAGGTGTCTTTCCCTGTAGTGACCTGTAAAAAGAACTCAAGGGCTTTATTACAGACATACTCTCCCTTTGAAAAGGGACATGCTAAAAGACTCACTACTACTCAGCCTTCAATGTACCTGTGTGTCCCTCTTATATTTATTTTTTTTTAATTGTGAATTATACTTGTATATCCCACTTGGAGCACTTTGTAGGCATTGCATGAACCATGGGATGATAATTCTGTGGAAGTATTGCCTTGTGAATTTGCTACTATTTTAGTTTTGTCTTTGCTGTAAACTTGTAGCATTAAACAAGTTTTCGGGGGGAGGACTCAAGATGGCGCTGTGAGAAAAACCCAGGATTGGAGTTCTCATTGTGTCTGCGGAGAGGTGAGTCTGAGCTGCATTTCCAGACTGATCTTTGTTGCCCATGGAACGGCAAAATTCCCAAGTGAAGAGGAGATGCGGGACGCCAGGCGGATATTCTGCCTGGAGAAGCCGGCAGCCAGGGTGGCGGCGGCTGGCCCTACCCAGCGCTCCCCACAGGGGGCGCTTGTCCGGGTGCCCCGTTGAACTGGCAACCGGAGACGTGAGAGGGCTGGACTTGAGACTGAGCTAGACTTGGACAGTGGGCCAGCCCAGGGGATTGCAGGAACAGAGCGTTAGGGTTGGCCCAGTGGGAGGAACAAAACCACGATTTAAAACAAGCCCCGTGCAGACGGCCCGAGATGCTCTGAGGGGGAGACGCGGCCACCATTACCGAGGCAACCCGCCCCAACTGAGATACACGCCCATTGCTGATGCAGCCAGCCGTTGCTGAGGCAACCCATCCCTACTGAGATACACGCCCACTGCTGACGCAGCCTGCCGTTGCCGAGGCAACCCGCTACAACAGAGAGACTCTGCCACAGGGCGTGGCAGAGAAGAGCAGAACAACAGAGCCAGGGCGAGCCTCACAACAGCAGGGCAAAGCCTCAGCGGGCAAACAGTGGCTAGTCTCCGTAATAGCTGGGCAAGACCTCAACGGACATCCATAAATAAAGCCCAAACACCTCAACTCAGAGCATTTGAAAAAAAAAGGGTTTTTCTAATGAGCTCTGTTACAGCAGAATCAAACATAGCAGCCTAACAGCCCTAAATGAACAACAGAGCTCACAGCTCAGCAATTAAGCCCCTATAAAGTACAAACTGTCTCCTCAAGCAGCTCCCTGACCCCTCTATATCCAAAAGACTGACATTAGGCAGGCACCATCCTGGGACAAAGATAGCAGAAAAAGAAATTGGTAGCATCCCTCACTGTGCCACAGCTGCTAGAGGTGCACCCCAGACAAGCAGGGTCTGGAGCGGACCTCAGCAGTCATACAGCGAAGGGGCTAGATTGGTAGAAGGAAAACCAAGCAACAGAAATACTTCATCATCAACATTCAGGGTGTCCACTCACAGACCCAATCGAAAAGTCAGCAACTACGCAGACGACCAGCGGACAAATCCACGAAGATGGGAAGAAACCAGTGTAAAAAGGAGGAAAACACCCGAAACCAGAACACCTCGCCTCCTAGAAAGGACCAAAACTCCTCACCAGCAAGGGAACAAAGCTGGACGGAGAATGACTGCGACGAAATGACGGAATTAGACTTCAGAAAATGGATAATAAGAAACTTTTGTGAGCTAAAAGATCATGTATTAAATCAATGCAAAGAAACTAAGACCCTTGAAAAAAGATTTGAAAAAAGATTCGAGGAAATGATAACAAGAATGGATAACTTAGAGAGGAATATGAATGAATTAAAGGAGCTGAAAAACACAATACGAGAACTTCGTGAAGCATGCACAAGTTTCAATAGCCAAACTGACCAAGCAGAAGAAAGAATATCTGAAGTCGAAGAACAACTCAATGAAATAAAACGAGAAACCAAGATCAGAGAAAAAAAGCGCAAAAAGGAATAAACAAAGTCTCCAAGAAATGTGGGACTATGTGAAAAGACCTAACCTACGTTTGATAGGTGTACCAGAAGGGGACAAAGAGAATGCATCCAAGCTGGAAAATACTCTTCAGGACATCATCCAGGAAAATTTCCCCCACCTAGCAAGACAGGCCAACACTCAATTGCAGGAAATTCAGAGAACATCACAAAGATATTCCACAAGAAGAGCAACCCCAAGGCACATAATCATCAGATTCAATAGGGTAGAAATAATGGAGAGAATACTAAGGGCAGCCAGAGAGAAAGGTCGGGTCACCCACAAAGGGAAGCCCATCAGACTCACAGCAGATCTCTCGGCAGAAACACTACAAGCCAGAAGAGAGTGGGGACCAATATTCAACATTCTTAAAGAAAGGAACTTTCAACCCAGAATTTCATATCCAGCCAAACTGAGCTTCAGAAGTGAAGGGAAAATAAAATCTTTTGCGAACAAGCAAGTACTCAGAGATTTTGTCACCACCAGGCCTGCTTTACAAGAGCTCCTAAAAGAGGCACTACACATAGAAAGGATCAATCAGTACCAACCCTTCCAAAATCGCACTGAATGCTAAAGAGCATCAACATAATGAATAATCTACAACAACTAACAGGCAAAACAGCCACTTAGCATCAAAATGGCAGTATAAAATTCACACATAACAATATTAACCCTAAATGTAAATGGACTAAATGCACCAATCAAAAGACACAGACTGGAAAATTGGATAAAAAGCCAAAACCCATCACTGTGCTGTATCCAGGAAACCCATCTCACATGCAAGGATACACAAAGGCTCAAAATAAAGGGATGGAGGAAGATTTACCAAGCAAATGAAGAGCAAAAAAAAGCAGGAGTTGCAATTCTCATCTCTGATAAAATAGACTTTAAAGCAACAAAGATCAAAAGAGACAAAGAAGGCCATTACATAATGGTAAAAGGATCGATACAACAAGAAGAGCTAACAATCCTAAACATATATGACCCAATGCAGGAGCACCCAGATACATAAGGCAAGTTCTTAAGGACTTACAAAAGGACTTAGACTCCCACACAATAATAGTGGGAGACTTTTTTTTTTTTTTTTTAATTTTTTATTGGATTATAGGTTTTGGGGTACATGAGCAGAGCATGCAAGACAGTTGCGTAGGTACACACATGGCAGTGTGCTTTGCTTTTCTTCTCCCCTTCACCCACATTTGGCATTTCTCCCCAGGCTATCCCTCCCCACCTCCCCCTCCCACTGGCCCTCCCCTTTTCCCCCCAATAGACCCCAGTGTTTAGTACTCCCCTTTCTGTGTCCATGTGTTCTCATTTTTCATCACCCACCTATGAGTGAGAATATGCGGTGTTTCATTTTCTGTTCTTGCTTCAGTTTGCTGAGGATGATGTTTTCCAGATTCATCCATGTCCCTACAAACGACACGAACTCATCATTTCTGATTGCTGCATAATATTCCATGGTGTATATGTGCCACATTTTTCCAATCCAGTCCATTATCAATGGGCATTTGGGTTGATTCCAGGTCTTTGCTATTGTAAACAGTGCTGCAATGAACATTCGTGTACATGTGTCCTTATAGTAGAACAATTTATAGTCTTTTGGATATATACCCAGTAATGGGATTGCTGGGTCAAATGGAATTTCTATTTCTAAGGCCTTGAGGAATCGCCACACTGTCTTCCACAATGGTTGAACTAATTTACACTCCCACCAACAGTGTAAAAGTGTTCCTTTTTCTCCACATCCTCTCCAGCATCTGTTGTCTCCAGATTTTTTAATGATCGCCATTCTAACTGGCGTGAGATGGTATCTCAATGTGGTTTTGATTTGCATCTCTCTGATGACCAGTGACGATGAGCATTTTTTCATATGATTGTTGGCCTCATATATGTCTTCTTTCGTAAAGTATCTGTTCATATCCTTTGCCCACTTTTGAATGGGCTTGTTTGTTTTTTTCCTGTAAATCTGCTTGAGTTGTTTGTAAATTCTGGATATCAGCCCTTTGTCAGATGGGTAGACTGTGAAAATTTTTTCCCATTCTGTTGGTTGCCGATCCACTCTAGTGACTGTTTCTTTTGCCGTGCAGAAGCTGTGGAGTTTCATTAGGTCCCATTTGTCTATTTTGGCTTTTGTTGCCAATGCTTTTGGTGTTTTGTTCATGAAGTCCTTGCCTACTCCTATGTCCTGGATAGTTTTGCCTAGATTTCCTTCTAGGGTTTTTATGGTGCCAGGTCTTATGTTTAAGTCTTTAATCCATCTGGAGTTAATTTTAGTGTAAGGTGTCAGGAAGGGGTCCAGTTTCTGCTTTCTGCACATGGCTAGCCAGTTTTCCCAACACCATTTGTTAAACATGGAATCCTTGCCCCATTGCTTGTTTTTGTCAGGTTTATCAAAGATTGTATAGTTGTATGTATGTTGTGTTGCCTCCGGTGCCTCTGTTTTGTTCCATTGGTCTATATCTCTGTTTTGGTACCAGTACCATGCTGTTTTGATTACTGTAGCCTTGTAGTATAGTTTGAAATCCGGTAGTGTGATGCCCCCCGCTGTGTTCTTTTTGCTTAGAATTGACTTGGCTATGCGGGCTCTCTTTTGGTTCCATATGAAGTTCATGGTGGTTTTTTCCAGTTCTGTGAAGAAAGTCAATGGTAGCTTGATGGGGATAGCGTTGATTCTGTAAATTACTTTGGGCAGTATAGCCATTTTCACGATATTAATTCTTCCTAACCATGAACATGGAATGTTTCTCCATCTGTTTGTGTCCTCTCTGATTTCGTTGAGCAGTGGTTTGTAGTTCTCCTTGAAGAGGTCCCTTACGTTCCTTGTGAGTTGTATTCCAAGGTATTTTATTCTTTTTGTAGCAATTGCGAATGGCAGTTCGCTCTTGATTTGGCTTTCTTTAAGTCTCTTATTGGTGTAGACGAATGCTTGTGATATTTGCACATTGATTTTATATCCTGAGACTTTGTTGAAGTTGTTTATCAGTTTCAGGAGTTTTTGGGCTGAGGCGATGGGGTCTTCTGGGTATACTATCATGTCGTCTGCAAATAGAGACAATTTGGCTTCCACCTTTCCTATTTGAATACCCTTTATTTCTTTTTCTTGCCTGATTGCTCTGGCTAGAACTTCCAGTACTATATTGAATAGGAGTGGTGAGAGAGGGCATCCTTGTCTAGTACCAGATTTCAAAGGGATTGCTTCCAGTTTTTGCCCATTCAGTATGATATTGGCTGTTGGTTTGTCATAAATAGCTTTTATTACTTTGAGATACGTTCCATCGATACCGAGTTTATTGAGGGTTTTTAGCATAAAGGGCTGTTGAATTTTGTCAAATGCCTTCTCTGCGTCACTTGAGATAATCATGTGGTTTTTGTTTTTGGTTCTGTTTATGTGGTGAATTACGTTGATAGACTTGCGTATGTTGAACCAGCCTTGCATCCCTGTGATGAATCCTACTTGATCATGATGAATAAGTTTTTT